TCCTGTAAAGCAAAGAATGATTCTGAAATAAAGTTAAAAACTAGATAACAGAATGCAGACAGTCAAGAGTTAGAAGTGAGGAACATAGATGGAGTGTCACTGGGTCAGATAGGAGCCATGAGAAGATATCTTGAAGGTACTGTGTAATCAGACTTCAGCATAAACCAGATTTTTCTTGGTAATGAGCAATTTGGAAAAAAATAGGTGTGTGTTGACAAATGAAAGTCTGTGTTAGAAATAACCCATCTACCAGGAGTTTTCCCAACCAAAGCCCTTTGACACTCTGAAAACCTCCTGACCCCAGAAACCGCCCCCTTCCATCACCACTGAGAGCCTGAGAGTCACTTCTCAGATCTGTTCTTCCCATTTGAATGATGTCCCCTTTTGTCATTACATACCATGTTCCCACAGGAAAAGAAGGTGCTACTGGCCTAAACCTCTTCCTATATCCTTTCAACTTTAGAGATAACACCTTGGACTTGAAAGGGGCCTAGGTTCATGGATTCTCCAGAGCAGAGAGCTTATTAACACTTTAAGTAATTATTTTCTCCATTCTCCTTGTCTATTCTCATTCAATCTATCACCCATATTGCTAGAAGAGTGTCCTTCTAAAGCACAAGTCTAAGAATTTTGCTCCCCACTTTCAGAATAATGAAACCTCAGACAAGAGTAGACACTCCCACTGGCAGTCCAGAAGTTCCACAATGTGGTCTGTCTTTCAGGCTCATTAAGATACAATTTTTAGCTAAGTGGAGAACTTTTGGGGGATCCAAAGCAAAAATATAGACTTAGTATGTATGCAAAAATAAAGATGTACTAAATATTGGTGTATAAATACAGTGACCAGGTAATTTTTTATCCACATTGGGGCAACTCTGAGGTTAAAATAGGACTAAAAATAAAAATTATATTTAAAGAAATATTCATATATTGGTCAAAAATTATTTTTATGGGTAGGGTACAGCTCAAGTAGTAGAGTGCATGCTTAGCATGCACGGGGTCCTGGGTTCAACCCCAGCACCTCCTCTAAAAATAAATAATAAAACCTAATTATCTCCCCCCTACCTCTCCCCAAAATTATTTTTATCAATGGGCCTATAAAATAGTACTATTCAGAAATCATTTTCAGAACTGAAATTCATTCTAAAAAAATAAAAATAGCATAATTCATGTATGCCAAAGCACAATAACCAAATTTTAAATTGATTATCTAAACATTAGAAAATAAGTAGAATTATGATTTTTGGTAAATGTTCATGAGTTTTGTGGTCATTTATCCCACTGTTAAGAGTATCACTGATATTTTATGAAGAATGTATTTTTCATTTCAATGTGATCTCAATATTTTAGACTTTCTACACTGTTGCCTGAAATCTTAAAAGCAGAATTTTAGATTTAATAAGCTTTAAATTGTGGTATCTTTAATTTGCTGCCAAATACTGTCTCTGTAAGTGTAGTGCTATCTGGTAAGCTCAGAGCAATATCTGCTAAATATGAATAATTTTACTTCCAATTTTTAAAATACTGAAATAAATATTTCATATCAAATATATTCATGACTATTGTCTTTTTTCTCCTTTCAGAGTACCTTTGGTAAATATTTTATATAAGCCATACTTATAAAAGTCTTCTCCATTTATAACTTCAAAATTTATTTACAAAATTTAGATGCTGCAAAACGGTATGACTTCTCAATTTCATTACATTCTAGAATAGAATATAAATTTATCCAGCTAAGGAGTTTTACCAATGATTCTACCAATAAATACACATCTTTGAAAGCCTAATTATAGATTTTCAAAATCAAATCCTGTACATGGTTTGAACACCTAATCAATTTTTTTCTTTAATTCTCTTGCTTTTTGTAAGGACAAATTTAAAAAAATTTTCTTGCAAGCACTGTTTCCTGTAATTGCGATTATTTAAAGTTCTAAAGGTTATATTTTTGCTTCATTTCATGACTATTCCTTATCAGCTTCACTGAGGTATAGTTTATAGTCAATAAAATTTACCAATTTTAAGGGCAGGTCATAATGCATGCTGATAAATGTATGCAGTCATATAACCACTACAATAATATGTAGTATTAATGATAGTATATATTAATATATATCAGTATATTACATACTAATATATTGGTATTATATTAATATATATTATATGTTACATATTAATAATTTTACACACACATATATAGTATTTTCTTCAACCCCAAAAGTTCCTTTTGGTTCTCTGGAGTTCATTTCTTTTTCTTTGTTTTGTTTTTTGGAGGGGAGGTAATTAGGTTCATTTATTTATTTATTTATTTAAACAGAGGAAGTGGGGGTTGAACCCAGGACCCTGTGCATGCTAGGCATCCACTCTACCACTGAGCTATACCCTCCCTTTGGAGTTCATTTCTTACCCTCTTTCTTGGCCCCTTGACAATCACTGAAATTCTGCCACTGTAGTTTTGCCTTTTCTAGAATTTCTTAGGATGGAACCATATTCTATATAGTCTCTAATATCTGGCTGCTTTCACTTACTACTTTGGAGATTCAAAAGATCTTTTTATCTTATTATATCTTTGTTTCTTTGTATATAATATGATTTTTCTTTTCTCTGTGCTTCTTTTAAGATTTCATTAGGATGTTCCTAAGTGTGATTTTATTCATATTTATTCTGCTTGAGACTGATTAAATTTCTTGGATCTGAGGATTTGTAGTTTTCATCAAATTTACAAAACATTTTTCTATTATTTCTTCAAATCCTCCCTCCAGTGCTGCCTTCTCTGGGACTCCAATTTTAGGCATGTTAGACTTACTGATGTTGTCCAATATATTACTGATACACTTTTTTTCAGTCTTTTTCTCTCACTTCAGGTAGTTTCTATTACTTCTTCAACTTCATTTTTTTTTTTTGGTCTTCTATAGTGTATAATCTGCCATTAATGCTTCCAAGCTACAGAATTTTAAAATTTCAAATATTGTATTTTTCATCTCTAAAACTTGCATTTGCATGCTTTAAAGTTTTTTCATTTTTTTCTGCATTATGTTTGCACTTTCTTCTTCACATTGGAAGTAACATTCTCATCATTGTACCTTGCATTACTGAGTCAGTTTCTGTTAATTAATTTGTCTTGTGTTTCTAGGTCATATTTTCCTACTTCATTGTATGCATGGTGATTTTCAATTGGATGCCTGACATTGTTAATTAGAACATTTTTGGTTGTTGAATTTTTTTGTTTTCTCTGAAAGCTTTGGGCTTTGGGCATGCAGTTAAGTTACTTGCAATCAGTATGATCCTTTTGAGGATGCTTGTATTCTTTGTTAATGTAGTTCCACAGCAGGCTTTAGTATAAAGCTAATTTAGTCGTATAATTAAGATGAAACCATTCTGATGTCTCTACATGATGCCCTGTGTATTACATGGTCTTTCCACTATGGCTAGTGGGAATACAAACTATTCCCAGTTCCGTGTGAGCTGTTTTCCACTGGTTAGTTCCCCAGCCTTTTGGAGTTTCACATCATGTATGTAAAAATAAGTAAGACAACAATTTAAGGAAACCCCTGTACAAATACACAGAGCTCTTTTCTCTGTGCAGTAACTTCATCCCAGATATTCTGTCTCACAAATCCCAGTATCATTCTCCTCAAACTCTCATCACTTTGTCTTCAGAAAAATCACTAGACTCTGGATTGTCTCCCTATGCTGCAGCCGAGAAATTGCCTCTCATCAGTAAGCTCGAGCAATTGTAGTATGTATTTCATGTTTCTCTTTCCTTGTTTGTTTCCTGCTGGGATCACAGGCCCCTACTGCCTGCTGTCTAGTGTCTAAAACCAGTGTTCCATATGTATGTCTTTCCAGTTTCATTTCTGATCAACAAATTTGTACAACAGTTATTCCTCCATAGGTGGGGCCAGAGGTCCATTCACTGAATATTTTGATTAATGAATTCTAACTGATTAATAAAATATAATCAAAGTTTAGAAAACTCATTTACAAAATAGTTCAATATCCTTGTAGAATAATCATCTCAAAAATTTCTGAAGTATGATTGATCATGAGAAGCAAAGGGGGAAATTTTGTACTGCCATGCAGAAGTTATTTTTAATTTGTCATCATATCAGTTGTATTTGGAAAAGTTAGTATTTCATTTAACTGTACTTCACTCTATGTTTATATAAAGATATTTTAAAATTTGAGAACAATAGTGTAAACTTTCATTGGTAGAATATCAGGTCTGTTGAGTTTTTTAAAGGGATTTAAAATACTTTTTTATTCAATTAATATTTTATTAAGTTATTTATAAAAAATAAGGAATTTGGTACTCCATAATCAATGCCAAATGGATCCCTACTCTTTAAGATTAAGCTATGCTCCACCAAAATTTAAATTTGTGTATTAATATGAAAGCAAATGATTTTATTGTCAGTATTGG